GATGAGGAATAATACTTAAATCCTTATTAGTAAAAATTGAAGAAAAACAGAATTTAATAACCTAGTCATCCCATAATCATCAGATATCAGTCTTCTCGTATAATTCGTCGAAGGCCCTACTCTCATCCTAGCATTTTGCTTATCTTTAGTCCTATCTATTAATTTGTACATTTTCAGTCAACCTTTCTTTATATATATAATTTATTTCCTAATTGCTAGTTCCTCCAACTCTCTTGATCTTCTACAATCCTCCAAATCTCCTGTCATTGCAGTCAGTTTAAACTTCTTTTATTTATTTATAATACTTTTCTGTATTTTATACTTTATACCCTTTGTTAACCAAACTAGTATTGTATTTGCAGCCACTTTGTTTTCTATAAGAAACACGCCTATAATGAATACTTAATAATTTTCCACGTTTTATCAGTATCTCCAATTAATTCGATTGCCTTTGCTTAATGCTTGGTTTTAAAATAACTCGAGAGAAATTATTCTTTGAACGAAGCCCAATTTTAAGCTATACAGATTGTAATTGTTATAAATACAAAACTTCATTAAGCTATGGCTATACTGAAGTGTAGAGCGTTTGTTCACATTTCTTAATTTTTAACAGATAGTATGGTGTGCAATCAAGCAGTTATTTTTAAAACATCTTTCTTATAGCACTATAACAAATGTGTATGTTAAAAAAAATTTGAAAAATCATTCAACGGAGTTCACCAACTGTGATATATTGCTAGAAAATGTCGACTCATTATCATCTCAAAAATTAAAAATTGTTTTAAAGAAATAGTAATTTGTTTTCTAAGTTAGCTGACAGGTGATATTTCCGCTTCATCAAACAGTAACGAAAGAAATTATTTCTCTACACTTAGCAAATATACTGCCTTTATGTTTATTTTAAGCACAAAGCTACATAATAGGGTATCTACCCTGAGCCCACCACAGTTTTCAAATCCCGAACTTTAGAGTTTTACGAACTCAAACTTATCAAATAGTCACAGGGTGGGGGATACTATAACTCAGTTTATACTTTATTTCAGAGACAGAAATAGTTGGCTGTTTACTTGTGTTACCTCAAAATGCGAAGTAAAATAAGAAAGTAACATATACTCTAGATGTTGTTTTTGTTTTTTGCGACCCAATATCAATCACACTTTAAACTCAATTTCACATTTTTTTTTATTTAACAATGTAAAATAAATTAATCACAATATGGAATATAGATTACGAAGTGAAATCATTAAATAAACACGAAAATAAATAGAGATTAGTTACCTTTGGAAAATATGATATCTTAAAGAATTAAGTAAACTAATCTAAACGTTTAATTATGAGATGTAAAAAATAATAGTTATTTTTCTCTTTTGCTCATTGGTTTGAATTTCATATGAAAAATTAATTTTGTTTCGTCTTGCTTCCAGGTTTCTCACAATATAGAACAATCCTCCTGGTCTATAAGGAACAAGTCATACTGATTTATGTTATTGCTAATTAAGAAATCGTAGATTTGGCTTTTCAGAGTGGCATCCATAGACGGTTTTCTAGACAAGATGGTCAGAACGTCTGAAATATGTGAAATTACATGGAGATTTTAGAAATTTGCTCCCCCGCCAGTCTTCACTTCAAATAGTTACAGGTCATCTTACATAATTTTTGCAACAGTTGACTGATTGTAAACTATGTAATGATCTACCTATTTTTAAATAGAAGGTGTTTAAATAACTACATGCAAGCAAGTTAAGTAAAACATCATTTTACAAAATGAGCCGGCATTTGCATTCCAGTATGATTGTTAACGAAACGTTATATGCATTTAACTCAATGATGCTTATTTTCTATATATAAGCAGGGTTTCCTAATCCTGCAGATTATCTAAATCTTACATTTAGATTAGAAGCCATAATGACATCTGATTATGCTTTATTTGTCTTTCCAATATAAAGTTATTAAATTTGATAATGAAATTCTGTATTAAGTGCTGCCAACGTACTTCAATTTAGCATATTATATTTTTTTTCCACTTCTTCAAACTTAAACTTGGGGTCTCGCTTCTTCTAACCTTCAAATAAGATCCTGAACCTTTTACTTAATACTTGTACTTAAAGACCAAATACTACAACAAGCCCCTGCTTCAGACCACAATCTAATCTTTCCTTTCAGCCAAATGTTATCAAGATTTCATTTCCTTACCTCTGAATACCAGATTTGGAATAAGTTCCAGACAGGACAACGTAATAGCAAACTGATCATAGTCTGTGTTCACCACCCAGTAATTCTCAACATAGGGCACTGCAGAAAAACAGAAAGGGTAGAAATAAGTTGGATTAATTTGCTAAAGAAATTAGAGCACTCCAGATTTGCTTTTTCTGATTAAACGAACACAAGATCCAGAAAAAAAAAGAGAAGATAATCCGCACAACTTATCATATAACTTCTTACAAAGCGAATCCCTAACTTAGTTGCAAAGTCAAATTAGAATAATATATTGAAATTTGTTACACGGAATAATATAGCGAGAATAACCGCTGGCGAATTCGGGCGAACAATATTATATTTGACATGATAGACTCATGGAAAGTAAATGAAAAAAAAGTAATGTATTGTTTACTTACTGGCAATTTAAGCTACAAGTTTGACACACTCCATTATGTAAAAATACGCATACAAAGCGTTAGAATTAATAAAATAGCCTTTATTGCCTTCATTTCTTAATACATTATTATAATAAATAATTAAGTTTCTAGATGTTTAATGCTTGGTTAACGTTTGTTTTGTAAATACTAGATTGAACTTGAAATATTAGTTTGCAACTCTTTCTCCAGCAAATTAAGTTTAAACTTATCGCTGTATACATGGCGAAACGTTTATTATGACGTTTCGGAGTCTGTGTAATTCATCATTATCATTACCAAAGATTCTTTACATCTATCTGTTATCAAGGAAACTATAAAAAATGCTTCGTCCATATTTAATGTATTACATATGTCGTGTTATAAAAACGGGTAAGAATCAACCATAAAAACAAAAAGTGGTCCCTTTCCGTGAAACATTTTTGAACAGTGAATGTATATATCTTACAATATGAACAAAATACTTCGTGTTATTAAACTAAAATTAGAAAGAATTAAGCGTAAGCATTCAGCGAGTTGATGAATATAAAAAACATGACATAAAAAGAAAGAATTGATTCATCTAGGAAAGCTCAAGGAACTGCTTCTTCATGTTTAAACTTCACAAGATGATTCACATTCTTCCATCTAAAATGCTTTCAATAATATCCTATTTTTTTATAAACATATTTAATACTGAAATTCCTAACAAAGATTATTACGACAATATTATTTTTTTATGTTTTTTTTCGATTTTGACGCATAGCTACATGGTGACTTTCTCTTCTAGCCGTCCCTTATTTTGAAATGATAGACTAGAGGGAAGACAACCAGTCAACAGCACCCATCACCAACTCTTGGGATACTCTTGACGGATCGAAAAGTGGGATTCAACCGTCACTCTTATAACGCACCCACAGCTCCAAAGTGTGGAGCATGATCTCGTTTTGCGGTAACGGGACGCGAATCACTGGATTCTCGATTTTAAGTTTCGCACGCTAACAAATAGATTGCGTTCGTCCCTGAAATAATGAGAAAAAAATAATAATCTGTTTTTATAACATAAAATACTTAATAAACTGTCTATATTTGAAATAATAATATCTAACTAGTGTAGAGTGTAATAAACAAGCTAATGCTCACAACCAGTTCATACTTACATCCATCATAGTGCATTCTCATTTTTCCTGGTTCGCTCGCATTTGGAGTTTTCAAAGTACCAGTTACCTTCAGCTGATTGCCCCTACAAGTTCAAGTGTATATTAAGAACACAGAAGCCATAATTATTATAACTACATTCAGAAGAATACAAAAGCTGGTGTTTTTTTCTTTCATTTAAAATATATACATAGGTGATACAAGCAAATGTTAAATTTATTGGTAAGAGTTTCATGATATAAACATATAAACAGACAACTCCAAAAAATATTTACAGACCACATTCTATAATTTATCAAGCGATTATTCCTAAGCTGATTGGAAGAAAGAAAAGTGTGTAAATGAAGCATATTATCAAAGGTTATATGTTATATGAATTAGAAATGGGGACATTCACCAAAATGAATTCGAACATGATACATCTTGCAGCGGTTTAGTGTATTTTCAAATAAGTTCAGGGCCAGTACTATTAAGGGGTAAACAAAATAAATGCTCGAGTCCCCATGATTGTAAGAGAACAAGTCTTTAAAGTTAAAAAAATATATATTGGTAATGAATATACAGGAAAAAAAATATTAAAATAATGGTTTGTCGCACTAAGTCTCTTGCATTCAATTTTGAACCAAGAAAGAACAACTAAGAGGCTTTAGATTTGACATTGGTATTGGCTGTGACTTGTCATGTGAAACAAGTTGATAAAAAGAATACAAAAAAGGTTTTAATATGACGGTTATTTAGGAGCAGAGGAACACAATTAGATCGCAGGCTTAGCATCAATTCTGATTGTTGTAAACGCTTTTTGTTTTAGAATTTGAGCTTTTTCATCTATGTTTATTTTACTGTGTATTTATTGAAATTAATTTTGCTCACTAATTAGTGATTTGTGAATGAAATAAAGATAATTATACTAATAGAGAGGTGCCTGACCCCACTTGTGAAAGGTCCACCTATGAGATATATAAAATTAATGTTTTTGTCTAGGATGTATACGCCAATTCGAATAAGTATATGTTGTCATATATATTAAATCAATACTATTTTAGCACCAAGGGATCTATTTGATGGTACTCAAATCCAACTGGTATAAAAACCTTGTCAGATACAGAAAATGACAAACTTAATACTATTGAAATTCAAGAGCCAGCCTGGTACACAGTTGCAACTCATCAAATGCCCATATGTAAAAGGTAAACGCGACAAGCCCTGAGGTCCTCATACGAGTCAACAAGTAGAGGTCCTCGATTACCCTACATTCCCACTGCAATATTGCACAAAACAATCGGAAACATGGTTTTATTTAAGTCATATTTTAGTGTATTATTTTACTTACATAACGTTATTAGGGATGGGCTGTATGGAACCCAAATTATTCTTGCCTGGGGGCCTTCATAAGCTCAAGTAAGCCACTGTAGCGAAGTCCATGTGATATTGCACTCCTAACGTATTGCTTTTGGTCCCAAACTTGGCTAGCACTGATATAACACGACAAAGTGGATACAAGAGTCAGTTCAATTGACTATCAGTAGGATATAATGAATACCATCGCTAGCATGAAAATAACATTTTTTATATATATTCATTAACAGCGACTGACTCACGCACGATGAACTGATTATCCAGCCAGGATGGAAATATCATACTATCTTTATAAGAAGATATCACCCCATCTCCCATGATGGATAAATCGCAATACTAACAAATATATAAACTAAATCATTATAAACAGTACAACTAAATGTAGCTTGGTGAAAACAAGACCTTTCGTGAGCGAAACGTGTAATTAATTGCAAGATTCTAAATATACGTCTGCATTATTTGAGGATATGACACAAAATGTTAACTTCCCGCTACTGATAGTCAGTTGATCGAAGGATCTGATATAAGCTAGAGTCATCATTTTGTGTTATGAGCTGAATACCATAATGAAGCCAACGGTACATTGTTGATCTCACCAACACTGTAAATAATAAATGTTTCGTCCAATCTACTAGTCTTACATAAAACAATCATTCTACAGTTATTTCATTATTGTGGCTTTACTTTCTCCCAAATAACCTTTATTACTGTAATGAGGTGTACTATATTAGTGATATAAAATGTCATCATGATTACACTTCTCATAATTATAGTATTCTGGC